CATGGTTCACTTTCTAAAAAGGCCATTTAGTTCTCTTTGGAATGATGTAAAAACGAGCGTTCTTGCTCATTTTGCTTCCGAGAAACATGCAAAACCGGACGGAAAACATGAAATTTTGCAATAATCTTGCGCCACCCTTGCACAAAACGACGATCATTTTTCTGTCTTAAAACACCAAGCGGGATCGTCGCTGATGTAAACGAAAACGCAATGCAGATGCTTCGCTCGGTAGAAATCCATCGCTTTGATGTAGAATTTTTGATTTACCAGCTTCATGTTGTATTTCCTAAAAAACAAAATATTTAGACCTCATCAGAAGAGCGAGCGAAGAAACGGCACAATCTGCTAATAACATCTAGTACCTTTTCAAACAAGCTTTATAGTCGGTTCTTCGAACATGAACTCCGATGAAAGTATAGGACTGGGGCGGCAATCGTTGACGTATTTTGTGGAGCTTTGCCTGAGCGATTTTTCGCAGTCTTGCTCGAAATGTAAATTCAGGAATAATTTCCAGGATTCGTTTCAAAACCGCACTCACTTGAAACCCGTAACGTGGCAAAATAATGCTCTAAAACCACAGAAAGCTCACTAATTCGCTATCAACGGCTCAACAAAACATTGCTCTAAACGGCTACAAAATCGCGCGCCGAGTTTTTTGATAGTTAAAATAGTCAGAAATGCGTAAACTTTGAACAAAATACGAAAAAAACGCGCATTTAAATCGATAGTAGAAAAAAATAGTTTTCAATCAACGAAAGTGAGGAGTGGCACCTGTTCTTTACTCACTCACGTCTCACTTGATCAATAGGGAACTAATATTTAGCCACTAATACTTGTGGCAGTGTTTCGCTGTTATAAATAGACTTCGCATTAAATGAATGGCTTTTGCAAAGCATCCACTTTCAACTTCTGGAAATTGATCCTGTTTGTTGCACTCGAAGTCCGATTCATAACATTCAAAAGCTTCTCTCAGGCTCATACGGAAATAAGCACATTTACGAGCTAATAGATACGCTGCGCTGGTTTTGCATTTACTCGGAATACGTGCATGCTTCCAAGCAGCCGATAAGTTCCGGATAAAGAAATTGAAAGAAAAGTACAGCATTTTTTAAACATATGTGTATATTTCACAAACATACACAGCTCAAATTACACTTAGGAGTAATCAATCACAGCTCATCATCAATGCATGCGTTAACCATCAATTCTCAAAAGTCAAAAAGTACCAAATAGCCGCCGGCTTTTGGCAACAGGAATTCAAACATTGTCCTACTTTACGGATCAAGATTAGAGTTTAAATCGGAACCCTGGGGAACTGCCGTAGGAGAACGGATGCGATCCTTTCAAGTTTGGCGACAAGTCGCTCACACTATCCAGGAAATCATCCAAGTCGTTTTCCTTCGCGTCGCTGTCGTTGGATCCGCTCAGTGCTTCTTCCTCGTAATCTCTGTAGTGCGGTTGAATCCTCTTGCCGGATCTGGAATAGTGGCTTCATAAGCAACGTGTGTAGGGGAAAAATTGCAGTTACTACCTGACTAACACGTAGGGATCAAACGGGTAATAATCGCATAGCAAATTGTCGGAGACGATTCGAGAGCCCTTCTCGTCCTGGTATATCGTCGGCATTGAATTTCGGGAGTTGTGATCGATAACTGTGTAACAGTAAGCTAGCTGGTATTTTCTGGCAACGGCCGCAAAGCTTTGAACCACTGCCTGGTGGCATACTCGTAACGGGTTCAAGCGATTGGTTACCATTTTCCCCAGCTGCAGACTTTGTAGGAACACTACATCTGCAGAAATTTCAAAGTTATTCTAGAGCACAAACACACTCAGTTCTACCTACTTTTTTTGGATTCTACCAAATCTTTGTGCCGAAAAGCCAGTAGATAGAACAGGGCCTGGCAAACGCTGTAAAAGACCGAATGCACTCGCAGATCTGAGTTGACGCATTCTAAACCGTCCTGGTTCTTCATGTAGGAGTGAATCCAGTCCGCCATCTGCTGCATGGTTCCTTTGAGGACTCTGCAATTAGCCAACAAGTAGTTTGCCGTCTTACTATGCTAGACAAAGTAGCTTACACTAAGGAAACAAACTGGCCTCTAGCCACCAGGCTTGCTATGTAAGTAATGGCTGTTTGCCTCAGTACTGCTGCCACATTAGGATTGCACACTTTTTTCCATAGGTGGCTCAAAAACGCTTCTGTTACGGCCGGTTTGAGGGCACACATTGCAAACATCACAAACTGCGTGTGGTGCGAATTATATGTGGGAAGAATCACCTGGAAAACCCGAATCTATCATCTGTTTTATCGGCGTTAAATTTGCACACATACTTTGTCGAATGCCGTAAGTAAATGATGATAGAGGTTTTTCGTTTTCTCCCAATCCGCGCTTCCATCTTGCGTCAGGCATTCTTTAGAAATGTAGCCAAGTAGCAGGTCCATGCAAGCGTCCAGTGCCACCCCTAAATCGCTTCTATTCACATTGGTAAACGATGTGCTGATGGTTTTAGTTGATTTGGCGTCGTCCTCCATGGGGAAAATTGTTTCATCTTCCATCATTTCCTGTGTGATTACTTCTTTTGGGGCGTTTACATCCATTTTTATCAGCCTGGAAAATAAGACTTGCTCTGATAAGTTTGCCAGTTTGGAACTTTCTTTGCAGAACACCGTATAAAGTTGTTCAATTTGGGATTTCGACTTTAATTACTATTAACTAGCTTTGCTTGCTTACTTGACTAGCACTAAGTGGAAAATATCAGGCTTGAATGAGGGCTGATAGGCAAGAACCATTAGAATATGATGCAGGTAATACTCCTGAGTATGTGTGGGCCTGTTGTAGTAAGGATATTGCCTAGTGATGGACTGCAGCAGTAAATCCTTGCACCTGAAAGACAATAAGAGTGAATCAAAGCATTTACGTTGGCACTTTGAGCGTACATCGGAACTACATCCAGCAGAATTTTGATGACGACGTGAATATTCAAGCATATTTGCCGATCTTTTTCGGTGATTTCGCCGTCGGGCCATTCCGGGTCAGTTAGATCTGCAATTAGGCTTAGTAAAATACTCCAATTGGAAAGTAACACACAACTTACTAGGGAGAAACAGATTCACTAATTTATCAATCACAAATTTTGCATGAACGTTGTGGGCGCTTATAAGATTAACCAGAAATCCTTGGTACTGCTTGACGACGTCCAGGCTGCGATCCACCCATCTGATAGACAGCAGGGATTCAACGAAAAGTCTGAAATCCTGATTCAACAGTGAAATGCATTCAGTGGCTTCGTCGAGCAGCGCAGACAAATCGCTTTCGAGCAGCTCCGCATCCCGTATCAAGCAGACCAAGTTCATGTACTCGTGCGTCTCGTTGGACCCCACATAGGCCTCCAAAATCTGCTTGACCTTTTTGGAATGTGGCAGCTGGAACCGCACTTTAGGGGGAGTATTGAGGACGCCGGTGAGGCGCCGTTTAATTGTCGAGGTGCTCTTTAGAATTGAGGGGGACCCCGAACAGCGGCTTCTGGAGGACGAGGACTTTCTCGACATGCTGTTCTTATAAGGCTCATCGAGCCTTTGGGGTCGTTTCAACTTATGTAAGTTAGCCACCGTTGCGGTCTCCCAGTTAGCCGGAGGGTTGTCGCGATTTCACTCGCTTTCGCTCACTTACTTTATCGGGGGAAAGTACCTTACAAACAGCGCGCCGGAGGATTTTCCCCGGAAGAACATGTGCACGTGGATAAGAACTCAGACAGTTCTCGAAGACTTTTGAGGTTATGACTGGATGTCCGGTGAGTTCGTTAGTAATGCTGGTGATTTTCTGCGCAAGTAATTTTCTGCTGCATTTGAACTGTGGTGGACTTCTCTAGGCTCTATTAGTTGATTTTGGCTGAAATATATCAGCAAACCCACAAAGTTTTTGAAATTTTAGCAACCAAATCCCTAGAGTTTAGGCGTGGCTCATTTAAGTCATGAATCAAGCAGTGAAGGTGGATTTATTAAAGTTATCTGGGTAGGCATTTTGAATTTCCCGCTGTAATTTTCCGTCTCTCTTGTCCACGTGGTGCGTGCATCGAGCTATCTCGAAGCCGCACGGTTCCATGGTCGCAAACCTAAGGAGAAAATTGGGCTTTTTCCAAAAATCAGATGGTCCAACTTTTCCACATGGTTGTAAGGGGATTGATGGGAAATCGTATATTTCGTGTTTTTCCAGGCTCTGAACGTTGAATTGAGTGGTGAAACCCCGGTTTTCTGAGGCGTGTTGCGGCGAGATGATTGGCAGTTCCCGCCAACCACCATGTTGCTAGTACACGAAAGGGACGCAGCAGCACATTCGCGATGAACGGAACGCTAGTAGTGATTTTGGTTAAAATCTGTTCGTAAGGTAAATTATTCAAGTGTTTTTGATTATCAATATGGACAACGTGTGAAAAACTCCCTTTTCTCTAGCCAACATGTATTTTTAGTGCCGACAATTTACTTGACTTAAGCAGGCATCCTTTTTCTTTACGTCTGTCTAATCGGCCATCTTGCTTGACAGCGAGGCCATTCTTGTTCCGTAGGTCAAAGGCTTGTTCAGAAAAATCTCTTTTTTGGCGCTAAATATAAATGTGAAAAATAGTTGAGGTTTTTGTTGGTTTCCCGACCCTGCAATGGCTTGCATGTGTTTACATGTTCTAGGCGAAAAACGTTCATTGGCATTATGGAAGAAGTTACAAACGAAACGGGGCATAGACCGAGCGTCTCGATGCCATCTCTAGACACATCCGACGATTTTCCCTCTCAAACTCTAACCGTAGACAATACGGACGCTGTATTTACCACTACGGAGCCCTATGGGTCGGCAACTTCAACTGACACGGTTGTCGCTTCGGACAGCTCTGAAATTCGGACTATGCATGTGAACGCGACAGACATTGCGGAAGACACAGCTCCATCCACTAGTGAATTGTCCACAGTCAGTCTTTTAGAAGCTTCGGAATCGTCAATTTTGACTGGCCCCACTTTTACGCCCGACCCCGATAGTCAGCCCTTCGAGTCAACATCGGGGCTGATCGAGGCGGGGGCCGATCAACAACCGATACTAGACGCTCCATCAGAAGGATTTGATGATTCACAGGTAAATACTCAGTAAATCAGTGTTTTTCCTTTATGGTGCCCCTTGTGTCTTATTCGTGCTTTTATTCAACACTTTGTTAGTGGTTTCATTGATATTTCAACATCATAAGTGCAATACTTCATATGTAATGTCTTCAAACGATGTTTCTATGTTAAACGCACAGGTTGACGAAGATCCATCGGCTGCTATAGATCAGTTCATTCAGAAGATTGCAGATGAACAGCTTAGTTCAAAACGCATGGAGGAGCGCAAGGAGGAGGAAGCTCAAGAAAAAATGGAGCAAACTGTGAACAGTGAGGACGACACAGAAGACTTGAATACATCCGTGTCGAGTAACACTGTGGGCCCCACGCCAATAGATGACAATTTCACTGTAAGTCAATAGATTCACTATTATTGCTTGGTGGCAATTGAAAAACTCGTTTTTGTTTAATCCCAACTATTATTATTTGATTGGCTTTAGAAACCTGACGAAGACAAATCACCAGTTGCTTTGGATAAACCAGCAGAAGAAGAAAATTATGACTTGGATGCATCGAGAAATCAAACAGAGGAAAATGCTGAACCTGAACCGATGGAAGTCGTCAGTGGCATTGCGGTGGAGCAAAAGAAGACTTTATTAAGTATAACACCCAAAATGGAAGATGGAGACGATCATATGATGGTTTGTTTAGCTAGATTCATCAGCTATTTTTGCTAATGATTGAAATAAATTTACCAGGCTGAATCAATAGAGGAGATTCAGAAGGAAATTGACAAAATGCCGGCGAAGAAAAACTCCAAAACGGAACCGGTCGAATCCACTGGCCTAAATGCTAGAAGCCACAATAGCCATAAAATGGTAATGAAGGCCGAGGAGGAAAGCATTGAAGATATTTTAGGCGGCGGCGATGTTAATCAAAATAAAAGCAGTGCCGTGCTGGACCCTCCGCACAAAGGCCCTACCATTGAAGATTCCGCTGACGTAGCTAAAAACGCGAATTTAATCGAAAGTAAGTCGGTCGGCTCCAAGTAAATTCTCTTCTAGTGCAATGAATTTTTTATTTTCCAGAATCTCAAGAAGAAATTAAAAAATTGGATGTTCTGGTATGTGGCCAGTGCCACAACACCTTTTACTATATTCAGGATTTTTCCGATCATAAAAAGGCGAAATGTTCGCAAACATCCGCTGTTACCAGCATCTGTGAATCTGAGGGCAAACCGCAAGTTTGGGGCTTTATCTTATGGAAAACTAAACATGCTAAGGTTGGATTTGTAAATAGACTTAAGCGCTTAAATTAATGCCAAAGTCGTTTTTAGGAGGAGCGCGACGCAGCCTCGTCTTGGCTAATGTACCAAAGATGGTGCAAATTGCCCCAATCAGACAAAAATGCTTGGATAACTGCAGGCCAATCGATTCAGTTCGCGAGCAAAATAGGGAACTCGAGAGTAACTGAAGTAAGACCTGCAAAACCGGCCAAACAAACCACTGTACAGAGGGTATGCAATAATTGTTTTTAAAAGATTTTTCGCTCAGCCTACAGTGTTTTTTCCTTAGATTACTGACACCACTCCTCCGCCGCTGGAATTCGGTAAGCATCTTCATTTTCTTTATTCAATTCTGTATATGATTTGCTTTACTATTGTTGCTTGACGTTGACAGTGATTTTCAGTTGATAGTAATAAGGAAAATTCATCCAATATGGATGCAAGCAACATCATCAAGAAGGGAATTACCAAACCGGTAAAGTTGAACAACGACGTAACAATAACGCCCAGTTCAAAAGTACGTTTATTGTGGGCTGCAGGCGCAATGAATCTAACGATTTCCCGTGTGGTTTTGTTTTAGTCCGCTTCTACTAATGACTTGTCGAATTCAAACACTGCCATTCGCACTACTAAAATAGTCTCTACGCAGAAGGATGAATTCGTCGTTGAGAAAATAATTGCGAAAAGATTCAACCCGAGGAAGAAGACCTGGGAGTACAACATTAAATGGGAAAATTTCTCGCAGTGAGTAATCTGGACTGTCAATAGAACGGACGTGTAAGACTGATCGTTTGTAATTATCAGCGAATCCAACACCTGGGAGCCGGTTAGTAATTTGAGCCATTGCAAGAAACTGCTGGAGCAGTTTGAAGAGCAACTGAAGCGTATGAAGGAAGAAAAGGCCAAGCAGGTCCAAACGACGCCGAAAGGCCGAGGCCGACCGGCTAAGGTACCAAAGTCGCCTCCTCATACAGCAGTTTCCCCAAAAATCAGCAACGTCGTCGGCGGAGTGGCTGACGACTATGGCAGCACATCAAGGTAGATTTCATTGGAAGCAACGTTTATAAATTACTAATCTGGTTTGGCAAATTCTTAGCAATCGCCCTCAGCGCTCCAGCAAGCAGAAGGCGATGAACCAAGTGAAGCAGTGGTGCGGCAGCATATCAGATGAAGAAGGCGATTATGATCTCAAGCGCAAATATGAAACTGATGACAGTGACGAAGATTACGACGACAAAAGGATCAAGTTGGAAGAAGATTCTGACGATTCCTCGCGGGAGGTCAGACACAGGATGGGCGTGAAGAAAAGTAAGTGGCATTTCAGCGAGTTATTTCCGAATAATGGATTGTATTTTGTTGCAGTTTCCACAGCCAAGTCGCAAACGCCTGCCAAAGTGACTGTTAAAAACGGCAACAATTCCCAGCAAATATTGCCGTCGAATATTTTGATTCCAGACGCCAATGGCGTGGTGCGAATCAATCAGAAGCAGTTGCCAGCCTTGAGTTCAGGGGTTTATATAATGTCCAAAACTGCTGGTGAGTTAATCTAAATAAAGTAGCTACTTGAAAGTTTCTTCTTCTTTGAAGAACATTCCTGACTGAAGGTTTCATACCGCCGCTATGAGTTTTGCCAGCTGTGGGTGACAGAATGAAAGTTTTTTCCCAACTGCGTTTCTTAAAAAAAATCAAATCTTCTAATCGAAAGAAAGTAACCACTTGAAAGCATTGCCCTGCTTAGAAAACACTCGACTTTAAGAAGGCTGAAAGTTCAATATAAATCTTTCCGAATTCTGATTTTGTGTGCCCTTTACTGCCTACTTATTAATAAACTATTATTTTGCCATAAAACGCGTATTCTTATGGGAATTTTGTGGAGATTGACAGTGGAAAAGTGGCAGAAAAAGGGCTTGAATATTCGAAAAACAGTTGCATATTCGCGGCTCGAAATATGAATGTACTTAGCACAAATTTATGAAATTTCTGGCTGTTGCAGGCATTATTAAGTTGGACTCTACTTCGTCTAAAGTGGCGACAAGCGGCGGACAAACCATTGTGAAAGTGGCGCCGAAGATTGGCCAGACGCAAATAAAGATCGTCAAAAAAGATGGGAATACTACCAAACAAATCATTCAGGTACGGCGTGTATATAAAATTCGCTTAGCAGAGAAGCGGATTGAAGAAAAAACGTTTGTGCCTTTAGGTGTCTCCGAAGACAATTACCAGCACTCCATTGAAAATGCCGACATCGGGCAAGCTACAGTCGAGGTCCGTATTCGAACACTTCCATACTTGATTAAACCTCTCTTTCAGATTTAATTCAACTTCTAAATTTCGTAGGGACATCAAACGAACTTCATCGTCCGATTCCAAGTTGGCATCCAAGCTTTTTCTTTCGTCAAAGGAGCCAGAGGATTCCGAGTCTGATGATGGCCTGGAGCCATTGCCGTTCCCAAACCCTGATGATCCATTGCCAGAGTTAGAGGACGAAGTGGAAGATGAGAACTTTGTGCTGGACCCAGAAACAGGTAAGTGGCCGCTATAAACACACGTGTCGTGTACTAACTGGTGATTGAAACAGGTAAACTTGCTGGTGTTGATTATGTGGACAAGCCGGTGGTTATCAAGGAGGAGCCGACGCCGTCTGCGACAAAAAGCGAATTGGAGAACATCGTGAAAATAGCTACCGCTGGTCTATCAGATGACGAGCTGCAAAACAGTGATAGCCAAGACAGTGCGTTGTTCGATGTGAAGCAAACAGTTAAACAGCCGATCATTAAGTCTGAGCCGTCAATCGTGCAAGCTTCGTCCGGCCATCCGTTGAGGAAAGTGGTTAAATACGCTGTGTCTGGCGGTAGAACGGAAAGCTCCTCGATTTTGAACAAGACGCTGCTGCAAGGAGCGCAAAAGCAGGTTGTATCGCAGAGTGTAAAAGTGAGTCCTCAAATGCAACAGCGCCGTGTAGTGCAACAAAAGGTAATCAACCAAATGATTTCTCAGCGGACGCCTGGATCTCAGGGCCGCACAGTGGTTAGGCATGTGATCGAACCCTCTAGACCAGGACATGGTAGTAACGTTAATGTTATCCGCAAAACAATTACATCGTCGGCTAAGTCCAAGTTCAATTTAACACCGCAAAAACCGCTCCCGTCTCCTCTTCAGCCGACCAGGACGTATTCAGCTATGGGGGGCATTCGGCAAACCAACGTAGGGGGGCCAGGCTCGAAAGTTCAAGTCTATTCCGCCAAGAGCAATGTTGCGGCCAGCCAGACCGCTGCACAAGGGGGTGCTCGAAGAGTGGCAAACACTGTCGTTCGGTAAGCTTAATGTCCGCACAATGTTTTCTGCAAAAAGCTACGTTTACTGTTCTTTAGGTCTGCAGGTAACCAGGGTGTAGCCGCTCAAAGGCAACATGCATACGCAGCCCAGAAACAACCGGTAACCCGTATAGTCCAACGGGTCGTGTCCACTCCAAAGAAACCGGGACAGGTGAACAGCAGCGTCGCTCAAGTGCAAGCCAAGCCGGCTTCTCCAGTTAAACCCAGGACGGTCATCAGCATGCCGAGTCTTACAGGTGATTATGAACTAACTGCCTGCCCGAGTGCGGTAATCGATCGAGGTGCTTGGTTGCTAGAAGAAGATTCGCCGCTTTCGCCAACAAAGGCACAACAGAAGCAGCAGGCGGCCCAAGCAAAGGCAGCGCCAGCCAAAATGGCTGCACCCGCGCCCGCAGCACAAATCCAGATGAAGCAAGAGGCTGCAGAACAGGCTGCTGCCGAAGCAGCAGAAGCCGCTACAACCGACCAGACTGACTGGTCGTCGTTCACCATGGCAGATGGGGACAATCCCATCTATGTCACTGGGGATGATGGCACGATATATCAGGTCGCAGGCCAGAACGAACAGGTTGGTTAATCGCAATTTCGCACCGAAACAACGGCATTTTCGTCAATTTCTCAACTCCAGGGACAAACGATTTTGATTACACAAGGACCAGACGGTCAGCAACAGTGTCTGTTGGTTACGAATGATATTGCTGAGATGACCGGCGAAGATCAGCAGCAGGGTGCAAGCGGCGCTGAAGCCACCCCAGCTGAGGAAGTTACTCAAGCTACGGGCGTTGTCTTAGCGCAATCAGAAGATGGTAAGAATGCTTTTTGTATTATTACTGATCCTGAGAAATCACCGTTAATTACTCCATTGTCCTAGTTAGGAGTCATTTATCTGCCTAGGGAAACAATGAAAAATGTTTTTTTTTTATTATTTTTATCTTGCCCACCTCTCTAAGTTCAGGTGAGGTTCCATCCATTTGCACTTCTAAATCACGGTCACTGAGATTCACTAATTTTTCGCTTTTTCCGGAAGTTTTTCAAAGAACTTTCAGCTGTTTTCTGGAGATCGACAAATTTTACTGGCGGCTAAACGTAGGGATACGATCCCATTAATGCGCATGCGTTAACTGCAGATTTTTAGCTGCGTTATTAACAGTGGAGAGGGCTCTATCTATCTCACTCTTAATCTATGCTGTTGATGTTCATTTTTCGTATTTAAAATCTATTATTATGTATAGACATTAGGCATATCACCCTTCCAAAATTGGTTCCTGTTTCTTCTGTAATTCGGCCTTCCCAGCATATGGCGTGCAAAGGCAACATCAAATCCCAAAGTTCCTGTTAAACAAGCGAGTTCTCCTAGTACTTTCATATTATTGATAAATGTTATTATACTGATGGCTTGTGCCTGGATTTCGTTTGATCAAAAATAGTAGACTTTATAGGATCTTTAGTACAACCATTGACTGTAGTACACGTTTCCGTGTTAAATGGTGTCTAAAATCTTAACTTTTTGAAGTGCATTTAAACAATCATAGGTATATTATATCAACAACTCACGAAAAGTGAAAATAAACAGCTGATCGTATTCCTACGTTTAGCCGCCAGTCAAATTTTATAGTGGCAGTTTGACAACTGAACGCCAGGCTGTCAAATATTGCGGCACTTCAGAAAATTAATGGGAAATTCTCTCAGTTCGTCCGTCATCTTACGCTGATGGACGCATATGACAACAGCATACGATGACGGACGAACTGACAGATCTCCAACCAATAGAAACACTTTCGTATAAACGGATACATAGGACACATATGGGCTTTATACTTAAATCATGCTGATCACAGTAGAGACGATACTCGTCTTATTTTAAAAGAATGGTCGGCATAAGTGGGCAAATAATTCTAGGAAAATGGGGAAAATAGTGGCAACTGCTCAGGATAGTAGTAAAAAAACAATTTAACTCTGAACATTCGAACCAGAATATTGGCCTTCTGATCTTGATGACTTGAATCTGTTTAGGTACATTGGAAATACCGGTAGCTGCCGATCCAGAATTAGCACAGCAAGCTAGTATTCAAACACCGTTGCAGATAAACACCGATACCGAAATGATGGAATGCATTGAGGATGGCGATGGAATCCAGGATCAAGTTGTGGCACAGGTTGTACGAGCGGAACCGCCCAGTCCTGGTAAGTACCTTTGAGTTTAACGTTTGGAAAAAATCAACAGGTTTTAAACGTGTCCAAAAATGCGTCCAAGCTTCGGGTAATAAACAGAGTTTCTTGCAGGTGGTACTCATAAAGTTGTAGTAATGCTGCCGGACGGCAACTTAATGGTGACTCAAGTCTCGCCTGAAGAATACGCAAGTTTAGAGCTAGAGTAGATTTTTAAACATGCAGACATTTATTGGTTTTCATCACTTATGATTTACATTCATAGGTAAATGACCATAAACTTGAATAATGTCGTAAATTATGTGTAAATACGAGGGGTTAGGTCATTATCCAGAAACACATTACACTGTGTCGAAAATCTGCAATTTTTTCTTTTATTATTTATATTCATGTTGACCCGAGTTGTCTTTTGATAAGTTGTAGGTAGTATTATCCTTTGTGGAAAAGTTTAATGTATAATAAATTATATGATAGTGGGAAAGGAATTGTTACAATGAAATAAAGCCACTTTCTCTAAAAACGTGCAGCCCACACATTCGAGTACCAAAACGACTTCGACGCTGCAGGTTGCGTTTCTCCTTTTTATATAAACGTCCCTGTAAATTAAATTTACGCATTGAAAGTCTAATCATTTTATAGTTGTAACCTTGTTTATTTGTAAACAATTGTATTATTATAGCAGGTAATAAAAGTATGTATTTGAAATTCCTTTCATCGTCCTAACGAAACAATACGCGATTCTAATCACTAAATTATTGGAAGTAGGTAATACTTAAACTAGAATAATTTACAAATAAATAATATCAGCTTAGCGCCGTGATGCTTAATATCAATCAGACCGAAGTTTTCGGTTAGTACTTAAAGGTAAATAGTGGATTGGATTTATAAAACAAAGCAACTCGGTTCATGGAATCGAACTATAAAAAATCAGCCAAAAACCCACATCTAATAGAAAAATGCGATATCACAATAATTGGCAACAACAATACATAATCTCAAACGCTCGTTTGCAACCCTACCTCATGAAAATCGATAATTGTCGTAATTTGACTGCAGAGGCTTATTCATTGTGTACACATCCCGAATAACCAACCGAAAAAAAATTGTGACATTGTGGGAAGAACGTTTTCTGATTCCCGTTCGCTCTAAATCTAGCAAGTCAATTAAGACTACCTGTCGTCCATCACAACCTGTTTAAACGAGTTGATGCCTGTGGACATTTGCGACTTCACCTCATGGTTGCCCAACGATGCCGTTCCGTCTTTGGCAATGAAAAGTTGTAAACCGGACGCTAAAACGCAAATGCATTCCAAACCTGGTGCGTGCAAACAGCAAAAAGACTTACTTTCAGCAGAGTCATCAGGCTGTTCCAAGTTGGTGCTCTTCAACAGGTCGGCTACGAAATCTTCCGGGTTTACCCTGGTGATTTCAACGCGCCCTGGAACGCCAACATTCCCAGATTCATCCGCTCCATTTAACGCCTTCTTGCGCCGTTCGTAGGCAGCCTTTGCTCTGTCCAGCGATCCAGTGTCGCTGTTCGTCTGGATGCTGCCCGAACTGGGATTTCTGAGCCAAAAAAACCACCATCATGAACATTGAGAAACAAAAACGTTGCAATGCAAACAATACAGCAAAACTGAAAAAAATTGTGAAGCTAACAACTACACAGTGGGAAACAAGCAAAACGAAAAAAGCTGGGCGAAGAACTAAGTGCATACTAAAATAAAGTTAAAGGCCAGTAACTAACAACGTCAAGGTGGTGCTTAATCTTCGTTGCAAGTCCTCCAATGCAACGGCGTCTTCTTCCTCCTGGCCGTCGGGGCTGTCGCAAGTGGCCAACTTGGACACTTGGCCGCTCTCAAGAAGCATCTTGCGGTGCAGCCTGGAGGACAGTTAGTGGGGGTTAATGATGCTCACTTGTTATCAACAATTTTCGTTAATGCTGGTAGTGAACATTTAAATACGTACGGTTAGTTGAAGCTGAGGCCTGGAAGGACCAGTACTATTAACTAAAAAAGGACAGCGTACAACCGTTTAACTATCCGACCAATAGAAAACCTTTATCCGGCTACATGGGACAGACGCTGAGGGTTCCTTCGAAACAACACAAAACTCCACTCCACCACCAAAGACCAGCACAACAGGAAAAACCCACTCCAACCATCGGACCTACCTGGTGCCATCCGAGCCATGAACAGCCAAAAGCGCGTCGTCAAATTTCAAATTGCCCATTGAGGCTGCCCTCGACTCGTCTCTGGCTAGGGAGGCTGGAAAAGGAACAATATTGGGGTTGATAGGGGTGGACTGAGCCTCGATGTTTTTGCGTGGCAAGCGCGGGGTGAGGAAGGCCGCGATCATGTTGGTGAGAGTTCGTTCGGAGCGCGGTTGAACCGGGGAGAGTTTCGGGATGGTGAAATCGCTCTTGGAGCGCAAAACGCCCTCAACTGGCGGCCTGAGCGCGTGCGAGTTTTTGGAGTTGCGATCGAAATACGAAATCTTCCTTCGCGCCTCCTGATTGGCGTTTTGGGCGGGGGGCTCGGGCAAATTGCGCCGCTCCACCACGCTGCTCGACGCGCTCTTCTGCAGGGCGTTGAAATTCCGATCGAAAACATTCGCATTGAAGCTGGCCTCGGGAGTGGCGAAAACCTCATCCAGATCAGAACTAGCGTTGCTCTGCTGCTGGATAAAGCGCCTGGGGACGCTCAAATCGACCGACTTGCTGCTCGAGTAGATTCGCGGAGGAGTGGAAAAGACCGCGTCCGACCGCCGCTCGAACGCATCGAAATAGCCGTTTATCGCAGGGGCGGGATCGGGGGCGCTCATTTCCCCCTGGGGCGTGTGAAAGCCGTCCGAGTTGCTCAGACTGGGCGGTCCGGGCGACTCCGACAAAATGGTGGTGGGAATATTGAGGCGATGTTTGGGATAAGTGTAGGTGCGATGGAACTTGGAGACGGGCCTGCGAAGCGACTCGTGCTGCAAGGCGGCCCTGCGTCCAGAAGAAATAACATACATATAGTCTATAGCGCCCATGCAAACTTAAAAAACTATCTACGGACAGAAATTTACATTTGTTGTGCCTTAACGCGTACACTCTTTAGACCCTTAGTCGCTACTTTCAAGTTAGAACAGAAAAATCTGGAAAAATAGACTAACCAGTTACACACAGAGTATTTCCCTCCGGCTCTGCTTCCATTTAGACCGGGACTTCTCACACAAAAACGCAAATTCTCACCTGATATGTCCAGCTGTAGAGTCGCCGCTGCTACTCTGCCGACTGTGCGATATGCTGCTGTAGCCAGACGCCTTGGACATTTGGCTGGTGTTGGAAGAGTTGCGACTGTGTCCCGGCTCCTGGACGAAAGCAGCGTGCTCGCCCGACTCTGCATGGAAGATGGGAAGCGCGAATTCGTGGGGAGCAGCGTCGAACGGAGTGGAAGCTGCGGGCAGGCCTGACGACTCGGCCAGCGTCTGTCCTATAACAAGATCTGGACGCCGACCATCAAACGCGCTGGATTTGGGGGCGCAAACTGCGTACCTGCTGGCAGTGGCGTTCGCTTCTTGGGCAAGCTGCCGAAACCAGAGCTGCCGCTATTAATCGAGCCCGCCAATGAGCCACTGGAAAATTCATCCGATCTTTGGTCGTTGGCCGTTTCGTCCATTGGGATCTGCTTGTGTTTCAGCGAAGGCGATGGCCTAAAGAACAAGCAAAAAAACACTACAACCGTGTCTTTAGAGGCAAAAGCCAATTGTGTGCAGTTCTTCCCTGACTCTTCATATGTAAATAATAGCAGTTTCACATATAAGAGCGAAGTGTGGTTTTTCGAACGAGGGCGGCGTTTGACACCCGAGACCCGTCGAAGATCGAACCACGTTTTTATTCGAATAAAAAACATTACACGAATCATAAGTTATAATAAATAGGAATAACCAAAAATAAATGCCATCAACTTCACATTTCAAATCTGATGTCAATGTCATTTTTGAAATTGTCTGTCTGAACGACACTAGAGCTACTAGCGCATATATCCTAAGTGACTCCTTGGTTAAATGGCATGCGCAAGTGAGTTTGAAGTTGCATTAATCAAAACAAACTTCTATTTACCAAAACGGGTATGTATTAGGTATTAGGGCTCGGAATCAAACTCGAACAATTCGAATATTCAAAAAGCGAATAATTATGTCCAGTCATAACTCGAAAATTCGAATACTGGGTAACGCTTCACGATGCGATCTGGTACTAGGATTGCCGATTAAGACTATGCTCACCTTATAGAAAATCTCGTAGCAAACAATATTTTTCGTATAAATTTTTCGATTAAATGCCGTTTTCCACCACTTTTCGCCCTCTGAAATTCACCAATTT